CATATCCCACGGTTAAGGACGGGATCTCATACCCTAAACCCTAAACCCTAAACCCTAAACCCTAAACCCTAAACCCTAGTTTTGTTATGCTCCTCATCAAGACTCGTTTCTTAATACTCGCGCTCTACAGCATTCAAATTAGGGTTTAGGGTTTAGGGTTTAGGGTTTAGGGTTTAGGGTTTACCGTTTTGGGGGTTTTCTTTTTCTTCGTTTGCATGCTGCAGAAAGACAAAGGGTTTCGTGTCTTTATTTAATTTATTTTTTATTTTTATTTTTTTATTTTTTTTGTTTTGTTGCTGCTGCTGCTGCAGCAGCAACTCAAATTCATGGGGCTGAATCGAGCGGAGATAGTGAGGGGTATCTTCTCCTTCTGCTGCTGCTGCTGCTGCTGCTGCTGTTTCTGTTGCTGCTGCTGCTGCTGCTGCTGCTGCTGCTGCTGCTGGTGAGGCGGCGGTGGGGTTGCTGCTGCAGCAGAAGAAGCAGAGAGCAGCAAATGCTGCAGCTGCGCGTACACCTGAGATGCGGCGCAGCAGTGTGGATCTCCTTCGCTGCTGCTGCTGCTGCTGCTGCTGCTGCTGTTGCTGCTGCTGCTGCTGCTGCTGCTGAGGGACTGCATCTGCAGCCGACGCTGGGTCATCCTTCTGCTGCTGCTGCTGCTGCTGCTGCTGCTTGTCTAGGTTTTGTTGGTGGTGCTGCAGTTGGTGTGCTTGCTGCAATGTATTTTGTTGTTGTTGTTGCTGCTGCTGCTGCTGCAGCAGCAGCAGCAGCTGCTGCTGCTGCTGCTGCTGCTGCGCACCAGTGGTCTCGCTCGCTGCGGTGTCGGCCGCAGCAGCAGAGAGAGAAGACATCATTATAAGTTTTGTGTTTTTGTTTTTTTACATCTTAAACCCTAAACCCTAAACCCTAAACCCTAAACCCTAAACCCTAAAGTCTATGGGTCCAGGCAAAACCCTAAACCCTAAACCCTAAACCCTAAACCCTCGTCGGCGGCGGCGGCTAGAGAGGGACTCTATGGGAGACCACTTTGCCCCTTGAAAACCCTAAACCCTAAACCCTAAACCCTAAACCCTAAACCCTAGATTTCGTGTTTTTTATGTGAATGATAAGAATCATAAACAATAGACAAACACCAGCTGCTGCTGCTGCTGCTGCTGCTGCTGCTGCTGCTGCTGCTGCAGCCAGAGGCCCGCTCGGCGAGCAGAGAGGGACAACAGCAGCAGCGCTAGGGTTTAGGGTTTAGGGTTTAGGGTTTAGGGTTTGTGGTTAGTGTATTTTATTTGTATTTTTTTTTATTTATATTTACTTTTATCTTTTTTATATAACAATAAAAAACTAAAAACCACAAACAGCAACAAACACACACAAACACCGCCGCCGACCCGAAGGACCCTCTCTCCCCCTCTCGAGGGTTTAGGGTTTAGGGTTTAGGGTTTAGGGTTTAGGGTTTTTATAAGAGACAAAGTTTTCTGCTGCTATAAAACAATTCAGACAAACACAATAAACCCAAACCCATAAATTTCAGTTGCAGCAGCAGCAGCAGCAGCAGCAGCTGCTGCTGCTGCTGCTGCTGCTGCTGCCGACCCTAAACCCTAAACCCTAAACCCTAAACCCTAGCCAGCGAAGCCCTCTGTTGAAAGCATAAGAGATTCTATTCACCCCATACTGTGCGTTTCAGGTGTACGTACACCTCAGGTCTAGACAAGGTGCCTATACACCCCAAAACCCTAAACCCTAAACCCTAAACCCTAAACCCTAGCGCTTTGTTACCCCAGGCCAACCCAAACCCTTAAAGATAAGAACACTACTGCTTCTGCTGCTGCTGCGCTATCTGTTTCTGCTGCTGCTGCTGCTGTCTTTGCTGCTGCAGCTGCAGCAGCAGCAGATGCTACTCAGAGACCCTGCTAGCTAGCTAGCCAGCTAGCTAGCTAGCTAGCTAGCTAGGTAGCTACCCGGCTAAATAAAAGAGGCCCCTAAACAGCTACATAGACAACTAGCTAGCTAGCTACCTAGCTAGCTAGCTAGCTAGCTGTAACGAGAAGAGTTGTTTCTATTCAAACTGCATAAGCAAAAATTTGAGTTAAACGCTGCAGCCCTTTTCGGGTGTACGTACACATGCATGCATGCATGCATGCGTACGTATAGATGCATGCATCGATGCATGCATGCGTACTTATAGATGCATGCATCGATGCATGCATGCATGCATCGATGCATGCATGCGTACTTATAGATGCATGCATCGATGCATGCATGCACG